AGGGTCTTATCTATCCACTTAGAGAGTCCAATTCTGAATACAGATTCAGATCTAGAAACCTCCTAATCAGATTAGGAGAGGGCTGATCTAATCTGCAGATAAGATAAGGGTCTATCCTTATCTCTTAAAGGGAATTCAGATCCAAATATGATTTGGATCAGCAACTCCTAATGGGATTAGGAGCTGATCCTTTTAAGGTTATAATAGGAGAAGGGGGCGGCAGCTATAGAAGACAATCACATTCAAATTAGAGAGATCACAACACCCAGTGAGACTGAGCTGTTTTTCTCCTTGCCGCTGCCTTTACTGCTAGTTCGATTTCCTCTTTGTAGTAGGAACGGTCAAGATTGGATCTTGATATCAGCCTTTGGGGAAAGGTTGATCTAAAGTTGTGCTCATAGCCTCTAGCGAATTCTTGTGAAGGGTTCGGTTCGTAGGACGAACGTTGCTGATTCTGCTCCATCCTACACTGTGCCATCTTCAGTGGGAGCAGTTTTTGGATCCTTCCTTGGGCGTGAACACCTCCATTGGAAGATACTGCTTCTCCGTATCAGGTATATCCCTCTCTTGCTTCTGGTTTCAGATCTGGTTCCATTTATGGTTCAAGACTGATATTTGAAAATGCAGATTTTCTAAAATAGGGAATGTGATTCTCATATGAGGGGGAGGAAATTTTTGAAATTTCGCCTAACCTACCTGTAGGGTTCGGCCATCCATATGATGGATCTCTAATCCCTTCATCAATATCTCAAGATTGGGATGGAATTTCTTCAAACCGTTTTTAAGGAAGGGTCAGGGAAGTGAACCAAAGCAGGGGATTGAACCAAGTCTAGTTTTCACAAGGTTTGGTAGGAAAGCTTTAGAGAGACAAGTTTCTCTCTTTATAAAAGGTGTATGGATGTTGAGACTTGAAGGTAATACATAAGATACTTACCTGGGATCAAACTCAGTCATTTAGTTGATGGTGTTTGCTTTTGTTTGTATTTTCTTAGGTCTTTGATGGATGTGGGTGGCTGAGCTCAAACCCTTGAAACAGAAAACAAGAGAAAAAAAAAGGCTTAACAATCACTCCTAGGGTTCTTAGAATCTCTCTAGACTCTAGAGACTTGGGAATGACTTACAAGTCACATATGCAGAAAATAAACTCCAATATTCATTGCCCATGTTTTGCAACTTTACACACACACACACACACACAGACATAGCCAAACTACTTTCTAAGACTCAAAATTACAATTGTGCCACTCATAAATCAACTTAACGAAAACTAAATATATCTCCATCAGTCATATTGATGGCTGATGATGTCAGTGGGGTACTGGGGTCTTCTAGCATGGTCGATTACTTCAATCTGTTCTTGAACCTACTTTAATCCCAAGAAATGATTTCTGCATTGATCTTGTTGTTTGGAGCTCTCGTATTGGATAGAAGAAGATGAAGGGAACAAGAGTGCAGAGATAGAAGAGAAACACAACAAAAGGGTTTTGGAGAGACAACCATCGGGCCACGGGACATAAATGCCCTTGAGTATACTAAGCTACTTCCTAAACATATGGATAAAATCCTTTCCATGGTATTAGGTTGTTATGAAAATCWTGAATGTTGGATCTAGAGTAGGACCAATGGTGCCTGTAACTACCTTGTTTTTATACCATAACTTTCAAGATGACACAATAGCCTTCATAGATGGACTTAAAGTGGTAAAGCTAAGGTTAGGAATCCCACTTGGAAGATCTAGAGATAGTTTAGGATTCAGCCTGCACCTTGTAGCCAAGATTCTGTGTTTATGTAACTTTTAGAATTTCTTTTCCAGATATTTTGGGTTCCCTTAAATAGAAGATTTTGTGGGGAAATTCCAACAGATTTTGAAGAAGTTGAATTGTATATTCAAGACTAAAGATGACATTTTTTTTTCTATATTACTAGTGTACAGATTAAAAGTTTTTTCTGCAAAACTTGACATTTTCATCTTAGAATGATTAACTGATGATAACATGTTCTTGCCAGGAAATTTGCATGAGGTGCTGGTAGAATTAGAAGGCATGGGTGGTGGTGGAAAGATACATCTTGAGGTATATGGTTCTAACATGGTAACTCTGGTAGTTTCAGAATTTGTGGGGGACATGTATTCTATTAGCCTCCGTACTGTTACCGTGGTGCACCTTATTTCAAATTATATTTGTTGATAAACTTACAAGTTACAATAACTCATTATTTGTGTATAGATGAAAATACTATTTTGTTATTGCCTTTTGCAGAAATAAAACTTTCTTTTTTGATCAGTCACTGGTTCAATATATATTTGTAAAAGGAAATCTTACACTTCCTGAATCCCTTCTATACTTGTTCCCTATTTTTGCTTTTTAAAGCTGATAATGGTTTAGTCCTAGGGCAAAAGAGAAAAAAGAGGAAGAGAAGAAGGAAATAGAAAGAAATGACGAGAGAATTCTATCTCATCTCCTAGTTGACCAGCTCTTGTTTAGATGTTTGTAAACTGTTGTAATGTGTAGAGGCCTGCGGCCTACTAAGGGTTTTTTCTGTCTTTTCTCATTGTATTAGTTATGAGTAGACCTGTTCATGGGCCGGGTAGCCCGACAGGCTGGCCTGGCCCGGCCCGTTATTAAGTCAGGCTTGGTCATAGTTTTAGGCCCGCGGGCTTGGGCTTGGGCCTAAAGCATCGGGCCAGACTTGTTTTTGGGCCGGGCTCGGGCTTTCTCAAAAAAGGCTGACCCGATCCCAAGCCCGACTTGATACTATATATTAAATAATAAAAATATATTTTATTTATGAAAAAATATATTGTTCTTCTCTTTTTTTTCCAAGCAATAGTGAGATGTTTACTATTTTTGAGTTTTGAAGGTTTTTAATATAAATAAAACACTTTTTTATTGAATAAAAAAAGAAAAAAAATTCTGTTTTCAAATTTCTGGCCGGGCTCGGGCCTGAGTGTATTCTGTTGATACATATACAAAGCCCGGCCCAGCCCGGCCCATGAACAGGTCTAGTTATGAGCTGTCGCCCTAAGTATAATTACTAACTTAGGCGCCACCAGCTACAATACTTTGAATATATTTCTCTTTTCTCTCTTCTCTCTTCTCTCTTCTAGTTCTATCGAACTACATGGTATCAGAGCACTGATCTGGGCTCAACCTTCTCAGATCTGGTTTTCTCTCCTTTTCTGAAAAAAGCTATTCTGATTGAAGACTCCATCATGTGCTTCTTCTGGGTGCAACTTTCAGCCCTCTTTTTTTCTTTCTTCTCTCTTGGTCGCTATACCAAGAAGAAGGGTGTGGTGGCAGCTGAATGCATTAAAACTTGTCTTTTTCTGAGGTTTTTCTATGTGTTGTGGGTTGTGGAAGCCAGGTATGTACTGTTACATTCATAAGTAAATTTTGACCATTGTGAATGTCACAGTTCAGAGGTTGTAGGGACTGGTTGTCTCCTCCTCTTGCAAACCGAAGTGTTTCAGCTAAGAATTATTGACCTACAGTGCTGTTAAACCTGTGTTTTTTGGAGCCTACTTTTTCCAAAGAGAAAACCCTCTATATCTGATTGTTTTTTTGAAAAACAGCAGTRATATTTCTGTGGAAATGGCTACTGAGGATTCAGCAACCTTTGGCATTACTTCACAGCAAGGAAACCTAAACGGGGGAATGGACAGCATGGATTTCTCTATGTCTATTACCCCCTTTGATGGCCTGAACTATCTGGAATGGTCCAAAGGCATCAAACTTTATATCACAGTTAGGGGGAGGTTATATAAGTGGAAAAATAAAAGAACCAAAGTCTGGTACTGTTGAACATGATCAATGGGATCAAGAGAACAGCATGGTTATGTCATGGCTGTTAGGCTCCATGTTGCTTCATGTAAAGAAAAACTTCGTATGGGCTTACACAACTTGTGAAATTTGGGAACAAGCCAAGGCAACCTATTCTGAACAGAGGCACTTTGCCAAGATTTATCAGCTTCAAGCAGAGTCATCTACTTGTAAGCAAGGGGACTGTAGCCTTTCTACATATTATTCAGCCCTTACATCGGTCTAGAAGGAACTGGACTATTATCAGACTATTGATTGGAAGAATGATGAAGATGCACAGGCCTACAAAAAACATGTCTCCCAGCAGCGGGTTTCTGCTTTCTTGCATGGGCTGAATCCGGCTTATGAGCTTCTCCGGGTGTAGATTTTGGGAAGTAGAGAACTTCCTTCAGTTCAGGAAGTATATGCCCTAGTCCAATCTGAAGAGAGCAAAAAAAATCTAATGAATGTTGCTGAGGGGGAGCAACCTGTTGCCCTAGCTACAAGAGGGAGTAGCACAGGAATGAAAAAGGGGGAACTAAGGAAAAGTGAAGATAAGGACAAATTGTGGTGTACTCGCTGCCAGAAGCCTAGATGCACTCGGGAAACCTGTTGGGAGTTAGTGGGTAAGCCCAAGTGGGCAACCAAAAATCAAGACACTTCAAAGAAGCCTCCCAGAAGAAATTTACTTCTGCAAATCTAGCCACACAAGACTATCAGCAAAATTATCAAACTATTGTGTTTCCTCAAGAGCATCCTAGTGGTTCTGATCCCAAGGAAGACATCATCAACTCCTTCAGAGATCGTTTGGAATTGTATGGTAGGACACAAGGGCAGTTGGATAGGTCGGTTCCTACCCCTTCTACCTCATTCGCTTCTACATCAGGTAAAGGTGCTTCTGCATTTCATGTGTGTACCTCTGCTCCCGAGTCACCTTGGGTCATTGACTCAGGGACATCAAACCATATGACTGATAAGTCAAATCTCTTTCAGGCCTACACTCTTCTCTCTGGAGGGGATAAAGTGAGACTTGCTGATGGGTCTCTATCCACCATTGCTGGTTAGGGATCTGTATCCCTTCCTAATGGCCTTGTCTTATCCCATACCCTTCTTGTTCGTAAACTTCCTATTAATTTGTTATCTATAAGCAGTATTATTCAGTCTTTAAACTGTTGTGTAACATTTTTTCCTTATTCTTGTGTTTTCCAGGATTTAACCTCGGGGAGGATGATTGGTAAAGGACATATGGTTGATAGCCTCTACATCTTGGAGATAAAGCTGGCTTTGCGGCATCAGCCTCTATGAGTCTTATGAGTCAATCTACAAACAGTCAACTGTGGTTATGGCATAACCGCCTTGGTCATTTGTCCTTTGAGTCTTTGAAAGTTATGTTTCTTGAATTGTTCAAGTTAGTGTTTATTACTAGTTTACATTGTGAAACGTGTTAGTTGAGTAATCATTGTAGAACAACTTTTTCATCAAATAATAAAAGATYTACTTTGCCTTTCCATGTTTTTTCTGATGTTTGGGGCCCTATAAACATACCCACTGAGGGTGGGTACAAGTACTTTATCAGCTTTATTGATGACTATTCGAGATACACTTGGCTATATCCTATGCATTCGAGAGAAGAGGTACCCAAGATTGTGCAAGATTTCCATCGCATGGTTTTCACTCAATTTCATGCTGAAGTCCAAATTTTCTAATCGGATAATGCGAAGGAGTATTTCCATCATGACTTAGCAGAGTTTTTCTCCTCACATGGATCTCTTCATAGAAGCTCATGTGCCAGAACACCACAACAGAATGGAGTTGCTGAAAGGAAGAACCGCCATCTCCTCGAAGTTGCCTGTAGTATGATGCTTCACATGCATGTTCCAAAACGGTTTTGGGTTGATGCTGTGATGGCTGCAACTTATGTTATTAATTGTATGCCATCACGCCTCCTGCAATACAAGGCCCCACTTCAACTTCTTTTCCCTCAATCCCTTTTATTTTCCATTCCTCTACGTGTGTTTGGGTGTAAGTTCTTTATTCATGATCTATCTCCTAACCGGGGTAAATTGGATCCCAGATCTATTTCGTGTGTTTTCTTGGGTTATCCCTCTTCCCAGAAGGGTTACAAATGCTTCAATCCGGTCACATATAAGTACTTTGTATCGATGAATGTGTCCTTTTTTGAGTCTGAACCCTTCTTTCAAGCCTCTCCTTAGGGGGAGAATAGTGTGAAGGAGGAGAGGCAAGCTCCAGCTCCTCAAATCCCTCTTCCCTTTATTCCTGACTCCTCTCCATTCCGTGTCTTCTTGAGGTGCCGTAAGGGACTGTTGAATTCGAAGGCTGTGGAGCAAATTGAGACTATACATCCGACACCTTCTGACTCCTTGAAGGAAAATCCAGGTACCCTTGTTCCCTTTGATATTACTGAACCTATTGCTATTGATGATCCTACTAATGATCTTGATGTCCCAATTGCTCATAGAAAAGGGCCTCGATCTTGTACTACTAAGCATCCTATTGCTTAGTTCTTATCCTATGAAAACATTGCTCCCGCATTTCACGCCTTTTTGATTTCTATTGATTATGTCTCCATTCCCAAATGTGTTGTAGAAGCCTTATCTATACCTGAATGGACAGAGGCAATGAAGGAAGAAATTAGTGCTCTTCACAAAAACAACACCTAGGAGTTGGTGAATCTTCCCGAAGGCAAGGAGCCAGTGGGATGCAAGTGGGTATTCACAATAAAGCATAGAGCAGATGGGTCAGTTGAGAGGTATAAAGCCAGATTAGTTGCAAAAAGGTATACTCAGGTGTATGGGGTGGATTATGTGGAGWCTTTATCCGAATTATACTATCCTTGGCTGTTAACTTTGATTGGGAGCTCCACCAATTGGACCTCAAAAATGCTTTCTTAAATGGGATTTGGAAGAAGAAGTTTACATGATTCAGCCTCCTGGGTTTGTAGCACAAGGGTGTGAAGGGAAAGTTTGCAAACTAAAAAAAATCTTTATATGGTTTGAAACAATCCCCAAGGGCATGGTTCAGTAGATTTCACTTGGCTCTACAACAAATTGGGTTCAAGCAGTGCCAATCTATCATACTCTATTTGTCAAGAAAACTAGAAGAATGTTGTGGTATTAATTGTCTACGTTGATGACATTATGATTATGGGGAATTAGGACTTTGAGATTAAAAAGGTCAAAGAATCCCTTGCTATGCAGTTTGAGGTGAAAGATCTGGGACAACTATGGTATTTCCTTGGTATTGGGTTCAAGYAG